AGGAACATGAGTCATCCACGAACGCTGCTGCTGCATGCTGAATGCCCAGGCATACAAAGCAGCGTTCGTGACCATCAGATGATGACAGAAATCTACCACATCCAGAAGGGCACGGGCGAACCATCTTTAAAAAGACGTGCCGCGTGCAGCTCTTTCACTTTCACTTTTAGAGAAAGGAGAAATTCACTCTTTCAGCGCTGAAGCTACCAGGGAGAAGTGCAAAGTCTGGCAGACCACTGCTCAGATCGCAGGCAATGCAAAATCTCGCTGGGTACCGCCGTCACACCAACACTGAAGAGGACGCTCGTTCTCGAAGAGTCTTGAATCAGCTTTTAGGAGTGAAGAGGTTCTCTTGGCTCCGAAGCGAAAACATACTGCGGTTGCGTTCACTTCCTCCTTTTATACTCACGGAGTAGGGCGGAGTACGCTATGCAAATTTCCGCAGCCCCAAGGCATTGCATGCCATTGGCTCGTGTTTTAATACTCGAAGAGGATTGGCTTTCTATGCGAAATCCCCCCAATCTCCGTCACTTCTGACGTAACTCGAAGTGACTACGAAAGGGAACTACATTTTTTACCTAGACCCACACATTTTGTGAATATTCAAATTATCCTGTTTAAATGTTTTATTGGTTCAGTCTGAACATTTTGAACAATAATTATTAAATCAAACAACAATATTGTTAATGATAATTTAAAAGTTAATTTTATTTTTTTCCAAAACGCTATAAATCCATACATTTTTTGTATCATCATTAGTAAAGTCAGAGTCAAACCTCAAACAAATAGTACCAATTTCAACATATGCATGAAAAAAACGAATTATTAATACCAATTTCAACATATGCATGAAAAAAACGAATTATTAAAAATGATCAATATGATAACCATATTAAAAAAAGGGATGGGCACCCCTCCAGCACATGCACACACACAGGCTACATAACATGTGAGCAAAGCGGAGCAGCATGACGCTTAAATATAAGTTAAAAAATAAATAAATAAATAAATAAACATTTCACATTTGTTTTTAATAATATTACATTACTTATTTTTATTATTTCATCTATGTTGAGTAGGTTATGAAAAGGGAACCGCATGAGATGAGTAAGATAGGATCAAAATTCAAAAGCTGCCCAATATCGGAAAATATTTGGAGTGCGTCAGACATGATTTTGACCACTTATTAAGTTTTGTTTTGTATAAAGCTTGTAAATTTCGTTTCATATAAATTGTATATTCATTTTAATAAATGTTTCATCGACAAATTGACTGGATTAATACATTAGAAGTAAATATCAGACAATATAATCAGGACACAGGGGCGCGCAGGTGAACCGGAGCGCGTCTCATAATATGAACCGAAACACCGCGACGCTTGCCTCACACAGGCCTGAGAACTAAGCTACAGAAAGCTTTAAATGTCTACTTTTAAACAAAACAATTAAAAACTAAAATAAATTGGCAACTATCTGCGTATGTAGGCTAATTCGAAGTATGCGTTTCTCTATGCGCGTTCACTGCGAAGATGGCGAGTAAGCATCATCAACTTTATCTTTGTTGCTGACACTGACAGAAAACACTAGTTTATTAATAAACAATTCAAATGTTTCATGCATAATCATTACTTTTGCCGGTTCTTTGTGGCAAGCTTTATGCATACGTTGAGATGCGGAATATGCAATTAAAAACGCTCATATGGTTTCTCTCCCATTTAATTAAATCAATATATGTGATTACTGATAATACAAATGGCTTAAATGATCTACTACTAGTCGACTAGAAAACTAGGACTCATTTTGAGGAATAAATGAACATAATAAACCTCTGTTCAGAGTGCCGCCGTGCTGGATTGTGTTGAATTTGAGGATTTATCGTGTTTAGGCTAAAAACAGGGCTGGCGCTTATCGCGGCTTGGAAAGAAACTGTATCTTGCAGTACATTTTAAACAAGGAAATATAGCGATTCGGCATGAAACGTTGATGGAGCAGTGAAAGGGTTCTGTCCACAGCAGAATGACACGACAAACTCATTTTTTTTTTTTTTTTAAATGGCGTTTAACGCGTTTTGGAAAAGAGCTCTTCATATATATATATATATATATATATATATATATATATATATGTGTCAGTTTTTCCCCTTTTAGATACCAGCAAAAACCTTGCTGATTTGCACATGCACACACACGCACACAATTTTTTATTTTTATTTTTTTTTATTTTTTATACACTGGCATCTATACCAACACACCCACACAATTATCGCTGCATAATTTTTCCAAATGGCTCTATAATGTGCGGAAGCAGAAAACAGGAGTGAGTGATAAAGTGAGAATATGCTTTATAGGCCAAACCTGAAAAAAGGCATAATCTGGTAAAAAGTAGATCTGGTAAAAAAATAAATAAATAAATAAATGGTTTAAGAAACAAAGCCTTACTACAAAGGTTGCATCCTTTGATGGTTAAAATGCCCTGGGGTTTAAAATAGTTTTAATAGGTTTCAATGGCGACATTTTTGTCCAAAAGCTGCTGAGCAACTATTTTGTGTACCTTGTGCTGAATAGATTATAGATTATTGAAATAGTAGAATTCCAATAAAAATATACCCATGTGCCAAATTTGTTGCAGTTAGCATTAACACAGGCAAAGTGATGATAAATAAAAACAAAGCTAGAAAAGACAAAACAGTCCATAAGGATGAACAAGGGTTAAATTATGACCATCCTAACTTGACTAAACTTTTTTTTATTTTTTTATTTTTTTTTTTCCATTCATGAGGAGGATGAATTAAGGAAATGATTATTCATAAAACATACACAAATGGTTAGTTAATGTCTGTAACTTTAGAAGAACACAAAGAACCACAAAACACGCTGGAGCTGCACGTGAGTTTCTGATCTTCATAGAATCACTTGAATGCCTGAACACCATTGAAAAGTTGGCTGAATGTGTGAACTGTGATGCTTTTTTTATCAAAGAAATGTGTACTCACCTGTTCACTAAAGTGGTTGGTGTGTGTTTGCCTCTGTCCTGAAGTCAGGATCTCTCACACAATCAGCACTCTCATTTCCACCATCATCTCCACTTAGTCTTCATTACATCATCATACATACCATCAAACATGCCTGCTCTTTAACCGTCAAACATTACATGATTTTGTTCCCGTGTTTAAGCAGTCAGCACTCGTCTTATTTTGAACACCGGTGGAAAACAAACTTGAGAAATGTGTGAAAACTAAAACGTTGCAGCATATCCTTAAAGTCAGCATGACACAGATGTTGCGATAGTCTTTTCTTCCCTATAGTGATCTAAATCCATGTGAAACAGCTTCTTGAAAAACATTTTGTCCATCAGGAATTGATTGGATCATTGGTTTGTTGTGGTGTTGTATTGATCTCGAGTGAGTGACAGGTTGTAACTTGAATATATCATAATATGAAAGATTTGTAAAAGAATCTACATGTTCAAAGAAGAGTTAATTTTGAGGAATTACATTTTAGACACATTATAATTGTCTTTGAGTGTGTGAGTAGGCGAGCTTTGGGACATACTACTTGGTCATCTTTAATGGACGGATCTGTCGCATGCATCCTATCACCGTAAACTGCCATGTTAATCATCTCGTCACAGTTAAAATTCTCCATTCAATCTAATATAATTTCCTACCGTTTCGTAGAGAAATGTTGTCCCTTGTTCATCTGCCAGTCGTGGGTCTTTCATTTGGAGACTCTCCTCATGTGTTTGCAATTTGAATGTAATGATGCATTTAAAAGTTAATGGCTAAACATATCTTTAGAAAAGGTCACAATGCTGCTGCACATGTAATAAAATGTAGACAACATGAAATAAATACATTTTCATCAGGTTAGATACTGATGATTTATCAGAGGGATGAGGAGGAGGGAGGGTCGAGCTAACCACTGTTTTGCTTGAAAAGAAGGGACATCACCCATCATCGCTTAGTTCACCTTTAATATCATCTCATTTTTCTATGAATTTTGTTGAAATGAGCAAAAACAAAATCTCATTGTTTTGTACACTGCAACACATCACTTTGGTTACTGCATTGCTTTGAATGTATTGATTTGATGCTTTGATAGTTTTATTAAACCTCTAAATCTTGCTCACAAATCCATACAAAGGTGTAATTACATGGATAATCAGTACAATCAAAGAGTGATACAGCAAAGTCCTCATCTATATTGTTTTTGGGCTCCCCAGGCTCCCAAACCCTACAACTACAAATTAACATTACAACAGCCTGTGTTTCTGTCATATAATATATGTGGCTCAAGTGATTAAATGCTTTAAGTTAAAGAAAGAAACTGTTTTTGATATTGCTTGAGAAAATGTTTGTTTTTTTGTATTGCATGTAGTATTGCGTAAGCTAGCTTACGCTACGGGAAAGATTAATCTTACATCAGTCAAGTTGTCATTGTTTTTGTCAAACAAATTGTGAATTTGTTGTAACATTAAAACAGGAGATCATGACTTACTCCGTGCTCTAAGTGATGTTCGGAGCTCCAGTGATTAGTTTCATCCGTGGGACGGATGAAGAAACTTTCGGAAGATGTTGCAACAGAATCATATGAACAATTCCAGGATATGCTTTTTTTTCATTGGTTGTTGCGTTAAATTTTACCCAGATACAATAGTGCCCTTTTCTGATCGGCTATTAAGTAGCACTTCTCTTTTTTTTGATTGGCTGATGCGTAGCAGGGTCGACTGCTGAACTCCAGGCGAGACGCGCTTGATTCTCACGTGAGAGCGGCGCGGCCAGAGAAATTGCGTATATTAAATATATTATTAATAGTTTTTCCGCATGAGAAATACAATGTGTGACGGGAGTGTGAGACAAAAGACTGAAACGAGTGACTCTCACGCTCAATGCGTGACACTATAAAAAAAATATATATATTTCACACTGACTCCACATTTAGGGGGGCCACAAGGGGGTCCGAGCTTGTTGCCCCCCCCCCAGCCCCCCGCCTAGAACCGCCACTGCATCAGAAAAAAAAATCAAAGAAAAGGGTTAAGAGTTCAGTTGATTACTCAATATGTCATGAGACAAAGCATACAGTATATTTTTAATTAGGGTACTTTCAAAATGTGCAGTTGAGAGCATCCTCTAAGAACAAGGTTGAGAAACACTTTTTTAGATAATAATCAATTATTACACAAGTTTTTTTTTTTTTTTTTCTCTCTTTAACTTGCATCAAAAAAGATGTGTGATGGCAGTGTGAGTTGTGAAAAGTTCTTCTCACAGATCCATTGATAATCTTTAGTACATGCTTCATCAAGCCACCCTACTAAATTCGGCCACTCTGGCAATTTAGGCACAGCCACAGTCAGGCCACAGTTCTCTACTTTACCTCCATTAGGCTCTGCAGACACTCCAGACCCTGCAGACCCCCAGAAACTGAAAATACAGATCAGCATTAGATGTTCAGTGCTGCTTTCTGTGTGATATGATACTGACTTTAAGAATCATTTATTAGATATTAATCAGTTCAGTGTTTTCTCACCTAGAGGTCATGTTGGTGCCATCAACCCATTTCCATCTGCCCTCCTCAACACTGTCAGTCAGACCAATCCAGACTATAGCTTTACCAATCATGTTCTTAACAAAATCCTAAACAGATGAAACAGTTACAACACTTAGATTACAGCCCACAAATTACTTGAAATTAAAACAAATTTAAAGCATAACTTTCTGTAATTACAGTGTACCTATAAAATACAAACATGTAGGAATAAGGGATCAATAAAGTTTAAGGAATAAAGGGGTAACAACCAGGAAAATTAACACATTATTTAAACTGTAAAGGCATCTTTACACATGCAGCCAAGTTGAGGCATTTCTAAAGCGGCTCTGTGAATGCTCAAATTTCTGTGTAAAACATGTAGGCCTACCTCAATATTGTTTTAGCCAAATTAAAAAAAATGTCAGTAAACAAGGGACAATGAAGTAAAAGAGTCCTGCACTCACATCATGAAGCAAACCACTAACATAAGAGTTGTCGATGTACAGTATAAAATCAATTGTCTTTCAATGTTTGTATTCTTCCTTTGAAGAGACAGATCAACACGCTGCTACATTTCTCTCAGATACGGTAAACGCTTATGGCATCACTAATATTGTGCATTGATATCTTATATTTCAAAAATCATCTCCTTGAAGATGATATCTCTCTCACACACAACAGTGAAATCTGCTGTCCTGCTAACACAGTCTCATCCCAAATCGTCATATAACTGACGTTTTGGGACGTATTTTGACCATACGTCAATATCCGCCTTTTTAGGGCCCCCTTAAACGTCGGTAGATGGCGATCCCGGGCCGTCATACAACTGACGCTTTACCTTTAACGTCAGTTAGGTGACGGGTTAGGTTTAGGGATAAGTTTAGGTATGGGGTAGAGTTAGGATCCCATAACCTCATCTACCGACGTTTAAGGGGGCCCTAAAAAGGCGAATATTGACGTATGGTCAAAAGACGTCCCAAAACGTCAGTTATATGACGATTTGGGATGAGACCGGGTTGGTCCTGCCTAAAACGCAAACGTGCTGCTGAACATCTAGTGCTTTTTACCATGCAGTGATCTACGCTGTGTAATAATTCTTAATTTCTTTTTAGCATAAAGCATTTAGCATTAATTTTACAAAAAAATAAAAAAACAACTTTCAGTACCACATAATTATGACATCAAAGTGCAAGATATACCAACCAGAGGGAATTCATTTAAAATTCAATGAATTATTTCATTGTTTACAGTTTAATTATTTTACTATATTACATTATTTTATAACACTGTTAAAACTGTAGTTTTAAAATAATAATGTAAAAAAGCATTGTTTCATTGTTTAATTCTTGTGTAAGTGCATTTATGTCGCTTCAGAGAAGCGATAAGAAAATCTGTTGTAAATGCAAATTTTGTGATTTTTTATTTTTTTTTTTTTTTTATATATATATATTTATGCCTCTTCATATTTGGTTTATGTGTCACTTTTTCTGTGTAAAGATGCCTTAGGTATTTTAGAATTAAGGGGTACTTATTCTACTATTACTACAACTACTACTACTATTTTTTTATTTATTTTTTTTTATGGGAAAACATAGACTTGTTTTATGAAGTTACAGGGTAAATGTGACATCCACGGGCTGTAAATGAAAGTGATGCTTATTACCCTCTTGTTCCATAAAATTAAATGGTAACAAGAACCAATAAATTTCAATAATATATATATATATATATATACACACAAAATAAAATTAATTCACGCAATCTGATTTCATTGACTACCATTAATTGGAAACCAAATTAATTAAAAAACTCAATAATTTAAAATTGATTTAAAACAACTTTTCTTAAAAAATACTAAAAGTGAATTTTGTCCTTTTTTAATCTATCTTGCTTGGCTACCTCCTCCTTGTTCCTCTTCTTTCTCATTTATTTTAAATGATGAATTTCAAGAAGGAATCACGTCTCTTGCTATTCTGTATTAGTGTATGTATTGAATACACCCAGAAATGTTCTCGTACTTTATTCACCTTTTCGCTTCCCGCTAACTGTATTACACGTGCATGAGAGTCCAGTTCACGTTTGATGTAAACATATTCACAAAAAAAAATTTTCAAAATCCGTTCAACTGAGTGACATTATGCTACATGTACATTGGTCATCATTCACTGTTTATTCGTGAGTGTTGTGAAGAAAAAGAATTACATCCACTGTTGAAAATTTCAGGCTCATTGTTTGTTGTGGTAATCGGATCAAAACTCTTCCAAAATGCAGATTTGAGCGCCGCCCAGTACCCTATAGTTATATATAACTACATGGAACAAGAGCATAAAAAAGAAAGTTTTACCTGCCATGAAACATAGAAGCCCATTAGAACAACTGCAATTTTGCTATCTCTCGCACACACACACACACACACACACACACCAACATGACATCATGACTTTTGCGTAAACATATACGCCACTTTCGAGTCAGGTGGCGTGTTATATCTACGCATTTTGTGCTATCCGCGTGTATGCGTATATGTCTACGCCATTAACGTCCGCGTCATTCCGCGTGTCCGAACACGCAGTCAAATCTCCAGTCATAAATGCCATTAACCCCAGTGACGGTTAAGTTTAGGGATGGGGTTGAGGTAAGTCATATCTTTTTTTTTTACCTAGGATGGTAAGGGAACAGTCATAAATGCCATTAACCCCAGTGACGGTTAAGTTTAGGGACGGGGTTGAGGTAAGTCATATATTTATATAACGTTAAGTCAACGGCGTTCATAAACACGCTGAAAAGCGATTATGCGTCTTGATAGCACGCCAAAAATGGAAATACGAATTGGCGTCTCATACACACGCTACTTCATGAGATCAGTCTGCACACACACATCATTCTTTCTCACACTCACTTGTTCTTCGCTGTTGTTTATGATGATCAGATCTGCTCCTCTCTCTCTACAGTATCTTCTGCTCTCAGTCCAGCTCTTTGTCTCATTCGGCATGTAGTAAAAACTGGATTTATAGTAAGTCCATCCATCTGTAAACAACCAGTTTAGCTGTTAGCTCTTTATTCCCATTTACACTCACCTGCCCGTAACTTATAACAGATAGTAAACTCATAGATTATGAAACCTGAAAGTTACTGAGAGCACAACCCAACTCATGCTTTAAAAATGATAGATGTATAGCAAATAACTACATAGAAACTTAACAATAACTCTGAAGATCATTTATTGGCTGACCTCTTTTCTTGAGTATTAGCTGGTCTCTCTCTTCTGTGAGTCTGGTTATGTTTGTTAGTAGCCGGTCTCTCTCTTCTGTGTAGTTTGTGCTCTTTGTATGGAGTTGAACACACAGCACTATGACTGCAGTCAGCAGAAGAACACACAGCAACACCAAACACACTGCAGCGGCTCTGGAGCTTCTGTTCCTCACAGAATCACTTCCTGAAAATGGCAGACATGAAGATAAATGTTTCTTAATTTCTACAAAAAATCCAGAAACTGTGTTTGTATTTGTACCTGTGTGTTGAGGTGGTTGGTTTCTCTCTGTGTGTCTGACCATACCCCATGATCCATCAGTGTTTATATTTCCATAAACAGGCATTTGAGTCATATTTGCCTGCTTAGCCATGCGCATAAATGACGACAAATCTCTGTAAGCATTTGTACTCTGCAGTTATCTGCTTTTGATACTCTCATTTTAGAACATGAGGGCAATGTGGTCAATGGAGATCACAGTACAAGAGCATGTGACATCCTGTCTGTTATTAATTTGCAAATGGCACTATCGTGGGAGTGTGGTTAGAAGTTGCAGTTAGGTTAAGGTGCACCTGAGACCCACAGTGACAGAATATTTGACAGCTGCTGTCAGACTCGCTAACAAATCTATATATAAAAACATATACAGCAAAACGTGCCGGTATAATATATCATATCATATTATATAATATAAAAATATATCCTCACTCACATCATGATGCCGCTATTCCATGCAGAAAATCTCCACCTCCAACACCCTCAAACGCAATATAGCTTACTAGCCGAGACTCCTTATGTTATCAGTAATACACCTCAAATTTGGTTGAAAATTATGGTTTAATTGACAAAAATAGTGTATATACTGTAAATAGTGCCATAAAGGCAGTCGAAAAGTCTTTAGTCATATACTTTTGTGTGAGGAATGTGTATTTTTAGTGAGTCAGTAATTTAGGTCATAGAACTGATTTGAAAAATGTCTAATTTTTTAAAACCATTTTTTTTCTCTTTAACTTCCTGACAGTGGACACACACCTTAATACACATAGCGGAAATTTTTTTTTTTTTTGTGATGAGATCATGTGAGTGTTTGAATCGAGATTGCAGTCTTTTAATGATTCATCTCTGCAGCTCTACCTAAAATCGAGCCACTAAACTCTACAGAAAGTATTTGGTAGCACTGTGGGGATGACTTTTTTAACATTTTCATTCATAATGTCTTAATATTAATTAAAAAGCCAAAACATAGATATTCAACTGAAAAAAATAGATATTAGGGAGTTAAATAGCTAATAAGCGATACTCCACTGTAGAAAAAGAAAATGAAGACTCAAAAATATTTATATAAAATTTACCCATTTAAACGCATCATTATACTGCAAGGCTATATTTATTTTATTTGTATTTGTTATTTATATATTATTTTATTGCCATTACCTGTTTTCATACAGTTTAGTTTATTAAATATTTCAATTTTTTTAGTTGGATATTTGATGTGAAAATAAGGAAATGGTTCTTCCGTAACACTGCACTTTAGATGTGTGTGAATTTCCCACACCAGGAGTTATTTATAGTGTTATATTTTATACGGATTATCATTTCAAAAATGATTTTTTTCGTAAGTTCTGTTAAATAAAAGATGGAAAAGAAATAGTTGTGTGTGCTGTAAAGTGGTTAGAAAAAAAATGGCCTAGAAAATTGTATTGGATCTCTACATTTTACTTTTTTTTTATTTTTATTTTTTTATGTAAAAATAGTCACTGTTTCTGATCCAGTTGCAGCATTTAATAGTCCACATGAGAACATTATCAATGAATGAAAACTTACATTTCAGTTTGTTCTTTGGAGAAAGCTATTGCAGTATTACTAAAGAGGTATGTGGTAATATTTTGTGATATCTTTACTGGTGCTTTTGTGTCCGTTTTCAAGCTTGAATTCTCAAGTTCCCACGTTTTGAAATCTTCAAAATATTGTCTTTTTGTGTACCACAGAAGCTGGTGATTGTAACTAAAATCACTATGCCAGTAGAGTCAAGACTGAAAAAACTGTTTATGGTCTGTGGTTTTACTGTTTTTCCACCAACACAAAGGTACAGCAGCATTCTCATGAACATTTCTTTGAAGGCCTCAGGTCCTCCTTGAAACAGTTATGATAACACCACACTAATGATGGATGTTTCTCTGTAGTTCTTTATCTGATTTGAGCAGACAGTGTAATACACCTAACCTCATCTACATTGAAAAAGGGCAAACAGTGAACTGACACTGTGCTTCAGTGTTTAAAGTGGTCAGTGTACCGTTCAGTTAAATAAAACGTTGATTTATGGAGTAAATGAGAAGGTTTAGTGATGATCCAGAAAACATTAACAAATGGTTAGTTATTGTCTAATTTTAACTTAAAATAAATAACATGGCAACTTCACACAATCTCTTCCTGAGCACCAGAAATATGACGTTAAATGGCTGAACGTGCAAACTGAATGAAAAACTGAATGCACTCACCTGTACGCTGTGGTTGGTGTGTGTTCGCCTCTGTCCTGAAGTCATGATCTCTCACACAATCTGCACTCTCATAGATTTCTACCGCCATCTCCACTCTATCTGTCTTCATTCCCTCAGACTCAGTCCGGATCACATTGTTATAAGTACTATCAGACATTTCTTCTCTTTAACCGTCAAACTTTAAACAAGTTAGTCCCTTGTTTCTACGAAGACGAGTTAGCACTCGTTGTCTTTTTAAAGCTTGTGACAAACACAATTGTGGTCAACGTGTGAAAACAAAAACATGTGACATTAGATCAGTTGACACTGTTGAGATTTTCTTTTCTTCTTTATTGTGATGTATATCCAAGTGAAATGGCTTCTCAAGCTAGAAAAAATGTAGACTTGATGATTTGTCCATCTGGAATTGATTGGATGGTTGTGGTTTGCTATTGCTGTGATGTCATGTGAGTGACAGGTTGTCCCACCCTTCCTCCAGTAAACATCATCAGAGGAAATAAGAGATGCCACTGCAAGAGGGAGGGGAAGGTAATTTGATTAAAGATTATGAGGACATTTGTATTAAAAAATGTGTGTGTGAATAAATGATTTATAAAAAATAGTGCAATTTTTTTAAAGTTTAGAACCATCTTTAAAGAACCTCTATACATATATAATTATAACAAATGCTACCTACAGTAGCTTTTACATTATGTTGTGTGCTTGTGGGTGTACATTTAATACATCTTACATATATATTTTTAATAAACCTTATAATATCAAAATTTGTGTATAGAATTGATAGAAACACTGAAGAATTTGAAGGATGTAATAAACATTCCTCCGTCATCACCATCTTGACTGACCAAGTCATTCTCATTCGCTGGATGTTTTGAAGCACGCAGCAGCAACACTGCAGCTGTACTGCAACTTCCTGAAGTCACTTCCTGAACACGTCAGACATGATGTTCAGTGTGTCTCTTGCCATTATTACTGTTCATATAGCACTAGACAGATACAGAAGTGCCAGGCGGGTTGTACGATTTGGGCCAAAATGATAATCACAATTATTTTCATCAATATTGAGATCACGATTGAATATCACGATTATTTGTTGATTTTAACCAAAACTAATTTTATTGTCACATTGGCTAATTATAACTTCTTTCACGTCCATATTGTGCTACATTCCTGCTAATGTGCATTTTTATGACTCTCTGTGGTCATAAAAAATCCCAGGATGTCTTTCGTAAGACTAGGGGTGTAACCCCGGCATCCTGGCCAAATTTGCCCAGTAGCCTCTGTCCATCATGGCCTCCTAATCATCCCCATATACACCAATTGGCTTCATCACTGTCTCCTCTCCACCAGTAAGCTGGTGTGTGGTGAGCGTTCTGGCGCAATATGGCTGCCGTCGCATCATCCAGGTGGATGCTGCACATTGGTGGTGGTTGAGGAGATCCCCCCCTTCTATGTGAAGCGCTTTGAGTGTCCAGAAAAGCGCTATATAAATGTAACGAACGAATTATTATTATAATGTAGAACTATGCGCAAAAAATAAAATAGTGAGGAGGATGAATCAGGGAAATGATTATTCATAAAACATACACAAATGATTAGTTACTGTCTGTAACTTTAGAAGAACACAAAGAACCACAAAACACGCTGGAGCTGCTCGTGTGTGTCTGATCTTCACAGAATCACTTGAACGCCTGAACATCATAGAAAAGTTGGCTGAATGTGTAAACTGTGATGCTTTTTTTTAATCAAAGAAATATGTACTCACCTGTACACTAAAGTGGTTGGTGTGTGTTTGTCTCTGTCCAGAAGTCATGATCTCTCACACAATCAGCACTCTCATTTCCACCATCATCTCCACTTGCTACTGTATCTTCATTCCCTCAGACAGATTTTGTTCCCGTGTTTAAGCAGTCAGCACTCGTCTTATTTTGAACACCGGTGGAAAACAAACTTGAGAAATGTGTGAAAACTAAAACGTTGCAGCATATCCTTAAAGTCAGCATGACACAGATGTTGCGATAGTCTTTCCTTCCCTATAGTGATCTTAATCCATGTGAAACAGCTTCTTGAAAAATGATTGGATCATTGGTTTGTTGTGGTGTTGTATTGATCTCTAGTGAGTGACAGGTTGTAACATGAATATATCTTAATATAAAAGATTTGTAAAAGAATCTACATGTTCAAAGAACAGTTAATTTTGAGGAACCTACATTTTAGACACCTTCTTACACCTTAAAAGGTCACAATGCTGCTGCACATGTAATAAAATGTAGACAACATTAAATAAATACATTTTCATCAGGTTAGATACTGATGATTTATCAGAGGAGGGATGAGGAGGAGGGAGGTTTGAGCTAACCACTGTTTTGCTTGAAAAGAAGGGACATCACCCATCATCGCTTAGTTCACATTTAATATCATCTCATTTTTCTATGAATTTTGTTGAAATGAGCAAAAACAAAATCTCATTGTTTTGTACACTGCAACCAGTGTTGGGGAAGCTACTCTGAAACTGTAGTTTAACAAGCTACAAGCTACTCGTACGTTAAACTACAGTCAAGCTACCATTTTGGAAAAGTAGTTAGCTACACTACAAGTTACTATCAAAAAGTAACTAGCTACATTGAAACTACTTTTGCTTTTTTTGAACAACATATTATAAATATTATATTACATATTATTATTATAACATGTTATAAATTATATATTATAAATAACTGAATATGTGTCTGATGAAAGTTTTAATTAAAATATTTAGTGTTTAAAACAATGCAATACAATTATGGTTTCATAGAGTATTGTTTTATTACACACAACACTCAAATATCTCAGACTGTTTGTCAAAAGTGCAAAATTGCAACAAATAGCCTACAACATTGCAAGAACAAAATATACATTCAACATAAATTGCATTTAGAACATTTTCTCAAAAATACAGATGGAACTTGGACAAATAAGGCCATGGGTAATCAACGTTAGTTGTTTCTCCATCCTCCAAATCTGCCATCACCTCTTGCTCCATCAATCTAATCTTTACGTCAGTGAACCGTTAGCCGCAAGACGCGTGATTAAACAACAGGTGGCAATAATGGCAAAAAAAAAAACCGAGTTTGTGATCTAACAAGAAGAAGAATATCCTTGCATCGCGCTGATTCGCGCAGGCTCGACAAACGCAATGTAGCTTTTGCTCGCGCTACACCGTTACTTGCTGCAAAAAGTAGTTCGCTACTGGAAAAGCTACACTGTTTAAAAAGCAACTGAGCTACTGCCAAGCTACTGAAAAATGTAGTTAAGTTAGTAGCGTCGTATATATATATATATATATATATATATATATATATATATATATATATATATATATATATATATATACATACATACATACATAAGTATAAAGCTGCTTCGAAAATTATGCTGTTAATGAAAACACATTTGAATCATTTACAGTTAATCTATGATTACAAATATGTAGGCTAACAAGTGGCATAATCATAGTGAATAACATGGCGAACTAAGTTATATTTGTTTATTTGTTTGTTTGTTTATTTGACAGGGACATTGGACAACAAATGTGTTACACAAGACAAAGATAGCTTTAAGCTAATTTTCATCTGCACATAACCCTCTTGTAAGGGATATGTGCATCCCTTACAAAACATAAATCTGTGTTTAGATTTCAGAAGAATCATTTTGATATTTGTATTACAAATGTTGAGGTGTCTTGTCCATCAGTTGGTCTGAAATTCCCTACTGTAATGGACAGTTCACTTTTAAATTAGCAGGGGAAGTTTAAAACAAACAAACAAAAAAACCTTAAACTATAAACGAGTAGATATTAATGACTCGTTAGATAAAGTTTTCTCATTAAAAAATAATAATAAAAAAAATTAAATAAAAAATACTTTTGATTCAATTGAATGTTGACTTAAAATACTAGGAAATGCCAATTTGGGAGATGGTGGCTTCACTTTGTATGACGTTAATCCAGTCATTTATATAAATCAGCGGAGCGTCCTCAAGGAACAAGGCTGAGAAACACTGCTTTAAATAACAAATTATTACAGTAGTTTTGTAAAATTTTTAATAAAAAAAAAAAATGCTCACAAAATTTTCACATTTTGTGAAATGCTCTTCTCACAGATCCATTGAAAAGCTTTAGGACATTCATCATCAAGCCACCCTACTAAATTACCCCACGCTGGCAATGAAGGCACAGCCACAGTCAGGCCACAGTTCTCTGCTTTACCTCCATTAGGCTCTGCATGGCTCTCCAGATGCTTTCCCCCAGAAGCTGAAAATTCAGAGCAGCATTAGATGTTCGGTGCTGCTTTCTGTGTGATATGATACTGACTGTAAGAATCATTTATTATATATTAATCAGTTCAGTGTTTTCTCACCTAGAGGTCATGTTGGTGCCATCAACCCATTTCCATTTACCCTCCTCAACACTGTCAGTCAGACCAATCCAGACTACAGCTTTACCAGTCATGTTCTTAACAAAATCCTAAACAGATGAAACAGTTGAACATAACAGACTCAATTTCATCTGACCATCTCTCATTTATCTACTAAACATCATAAAAGCAACTCTTACTTGTTCTTCTCTGTTGTTTATGATGATCAGATCTGCTCCTCTCTCTCTACAGTCTCTTCTGCTCTCATTCCAGCTCTTCGTCTCATTCGGCATGTAGTAAAAACTGGATTTATAGTAAGTCCATCCATCTGTAAACAACCAGTTTAGCTGTTAGCTCTTTATTCTCATTTACACTCACCTGTCCGTAACTTATAACAGATAGTAAACTCATAGATTGTGTTCAGTGAAAGTTACTGAGAGAACAACCCCACTCCATAATGTTTTTAAAATGTCTGCTATATAGAAAATAACTTCGTAGAAACTTTACCAGAACTCTGAAGATGATTTCTTAGCTGGTCTCTCTCATTGGTCAGGTTTTCATTTTTGGATGTTAGCTGATTTCTCTCATTGGTCAGATTTTCTTTTTTGGATATTAACCTGTCTCTCTCTTCTGTGAGTCTGGTTATGTTGGTCAGTAGCCGATCTCTCTCTTCTGTGTAGTTTGTGCTCTTTGTATGGATGTGAACACACAGCACTATGACTGCAGTCAGCAGAAGAACACACAGCAACACCAAACACACTGCAGCAGCTTTGGAGCTTCTGTTCCTCACAGAATCATTTCCTAAAGATAACAGATATCATGTTACTTTATTTATCCATTTAACACAGCACACGTCAACTGAAAGCATGAAAAACTGAGTGAATTATTAATCTCAGTACCTGTGCATTCAGATGATTTGCCTTGCACTGAGTCTGTGATCTCTTTTCCAAAATTACCTTTAATAACATCATCATCATCATTTTCGTAGACAAAATCAGTGGTTTGTCCATCTTTTCTGTGCATTTTGCAGGAGTTACTTCTTTCAATATGTTTTAATTTACAGTTTCAGTGTCTTCTAGATGCCAACAAACAAACTCTAGTTTCTCTCCTGGAGTGGACTGTGTTGTTCCTCATCAGTGTTTATATGTCAAGTATTTATGCAGGGAGGAACTGTTGTTTAGTGGAAATATTTCAATTTATGCATAAAGGAACTTCAACGCACCACAAGTTCACTAGATTGTCTTTTTTCTCAGCAGTGTGGATTGGTTTCATATCCAGTAGGTTAAATGGTTTCTTGTTTTGAAAGGCTTCTGTGACATAGCTGTCAACCCTCCCTTTTTTTTTTCTCGCTTATTTTAGCTCTTTTCCCGCTGTTTTCCCATTTTAGTATTTTCCCGTAAAATTTCCCGTATTTTTACGCTCTGATTGTGTGAGACGTACAAGCTCGGACAGATTCGACTTAAAGTCGTTCATCCTTGGATGTGGCGCCTCGCGCGCTGTTACAAAAAAAGGCGTGCTCACAGCCAAGCGAAACGAAGTCTTGCGCACCCAACTTGTCATTTTTGCCGCGCTCATAGGGACGGGTCGAGTATTAAGGCTTTACTCCGTGTCAGTGCGCGCTCTGATCGGTAAAGGTGCACAGACCTCTCCCAGTCATCTCCAGCAGAAGCAGCCTCCGATCGCAGCACTTACTCCACCTCCGTTTCCCTCTTAAGCTGATATTAGTATTTAACCATTCTCTGATTTTTTTTAAACACACTGTCTGACACACTGTCTCTTTTCTGTCTCACTCTCACACACACACACACACACAAACACTGTCTCTTTCTCGCTCACACACATGTAGGCTAGTTATAAACTCTTTAGACTATTAAAGGTACAATATGCAAGATTGTTTGGCCATCAGGGGTCGCTAACCTCTTACAATAACAAATGTGTATATTAATAACGTATATTCCGCATTAAGTGGAATTATGGATCTTGTCATCAAGCTGATGGATCTTTTATGGATGAGTGAATACATTGATGTTTTTAACATGACTGGCTGAGAAACACTGCTTTAGATAATAAATCATTACAGTGGTTTTGTACAGTTAAAATTGTTTAATAATAAAAAAGGTGTGTGATGTTCTTATGGCAGTGTGAGTTGTGAAATGCTCTTCTCACAGATCCATTGATAAGCTTTAGTACATGCAATATCAATCCACCCTACTAAATTACCCCACCCTGGCTGAGGCACAGGCACAGTCACGGCACAGTTCTCGTCTCTACCTCCATTAGGCTCTACAGACACTCCAGGCCCTGCAGACCCCCAGAAGCTGAAAATACAGATCAGCATTAGATGTTCAGTGCTGCTTTCTGTGTGATATGATACTGACTGTAAGAATCATTTATTAGATATTAATCAGTTGTCAGTTCAGTTCAGTGTTTTCTCACTTAGAGGTCATGTTGGTGCCATCAACCCATTTCCATCTGCCCTCCTCAACACTGTCAGTCAGACCAATCCAGACTACAGCTTTACCAGTCATGTTCTTAACAAAATCCTGAGCAGATGAAACAGTTAAACATTTAGTTCATAAACAGAGCAAACTCAATTTCATCTGACCATCTCTCATTTATCTACTAAACATCATAAAAGCAACTCTTACTTGTTCTTCTCTGTTGTTAATGATGATCAGATCCGCTCCTCTTTCTGTACAGTATCGTCTGCTCTCAGTCCAGCTCTTTGTCTCATTGGGCATGTAGTAAAAACTGGATTTATAGTAAATCCATCCATCTGTAAACAACCAGTTTAGCTGTTAGCTCTTTATTCCCATTTACACTCACCTGCCCGTAACTTATAACAGATAGTAAACTTGTTCAGTGAAAGTTACTGAGAGAACAACCCAACTCCATAATGTTTTTAAAATGTCTGCTATATAGAAAATAACTTCAGATTAAAGAAACTTTACCAGAACTCTGAAGATGATTTCTTAGCTGGTCTCTCTCAATGGTCAGGTATACATTTTTTGATATTAGCTGGTTTCTCTCATTGGTCAGGTTAACATTTTTGGATATTAGCTGGTTTCTCTCATTGTTCAGGTTTTCATTTTTGGATATTTGCTGGTTTCTCTCTTCTGTGTAGTTTGTGCTCTTTGTATGGATGTGAACACACAGCACTATGACTGCAGTCAGCAGAAGAACACACAGCAACACCAAACACACTGCAGCGGCTCTGGAGCTTCTGTTCCTCACAGAATCACTTCCTGAACACCACAGATATGATGTTATTTTCTTTATTTATCCATTTAACACAGCACACATCAACTGAAAGCATGAAAAACTGAGTGAATTATTCATTTAGTACCTGTGCATTCAGATGATTTGCCTTGCGCTGAGTCTGTGATCTCTTTTCCAAACTTATCTTTAATAACATCATCATCATTTTCGTAGATACAATCAGTGGTTTGTCCATCTTTTCTGTGCATTTTGTAGGTTGTACTCCTTTCAATATTTTCATTTACACTTTCAAACAGTTTCAGTGTCGTTTAGACGCCAACAAACTAACTCTAGTTTCTCTCCTGGAGTGGACTGTGTTGTTCCTCATCAGTGTTTATATGTCAAGTATTTATGCAGAGAGGAACTGTTGTTTTGTGGAAATATTTCAATTTATGCATAAAGGAACTTCATTAGAAGTTAAGAAGTGATGCTTTCTTTGTAGATAAATATAAATTCTCCGTCGATCTCATTTAAAGTCAAAAGGAGATCAGGCCTTTGCTGTTACGGGTCCGGGGCTTTGGAATAGTCTGCCTCTTGAATTAAGAGTTATCTCCTCTTTAAATGTATTTAAACCCAGTGTTAAAAATTATTTCATGTCTTTAGCCTTTGAGAGGTTGGGCTAGTATTTTATGTTTGTAAGTTGCCTGTTGTTTTTATGTGTTGCTTGTTTTATGTGGTTGATTGTACAGCACTTTGGTCTGCAGGTGCAGTTGTAAAGTGCTTTATAAATAAAATAACCATAACCACATACAATTGTATCTACATTTGAATTTCTTCGAAAAATTTTAATTTTAGATATAAGTAGATGCTATTTACACTGCGGACATTATTATTATTATTATTATTATTATATTTTTTTGGCATTTAGAATGTGAATAGTGGAAGATACTATTTGCACCTCAGTAGTACGTTATCATAGTATTATAAAACAACATTTTCAGAAAAGATAATATACCTAAAGGCCTATAAGTCTATTATACATGCTTTCATCACCAGCAGGGTGGATTATTGTAATGCACTTCTCACTGACCGTCCCAAAAAGACCATGAGACAGTTGCAGCTCATACAGAACGCTGCTGTCAGGATTCTGAGCAGAACCAGAAAATATGAACATATCACACCAGTCCTCAGGTCTTTACACTTGCTCCCACGTTACATTTAGAAATAATTTTAAAGTATTATTACTATTACAGCCTATAAATCATTCAATGGCCTAGGACCTCAATATATTGCAGATATGCTCACTGAATATAAACCCAATAGATCACTCAGATCATTAGGATCACACCAGTTATGAATACCAAGGGTTATCTATAAGCATGGAGAGTGTGCTTTTAGCTATTATGCCAGTCACAGCTGGAACCAGCTTCCAGAGAGATCAGATGTGATCCTACAATAGTCACATTCAAATCCAGATTCAAAACACTTCTATTTAGCTGTGCATTTACTGAATGAGCACTGAGCCACTGTTCGTCCGACTGTTTACACTATATTTTATCTCTGCATTCTCCGTTTGATTCTAAACTGCTGTATTCTTCCTTTTTGATTCTAAACTGAACTCAAATGGCACTGACTGATATGATGAACCGGTGTTTTACACTAAATCATGTGGTGGAGTTTGAGAGGGATTGACTCATGACAGTCAAGGGAACACTGTGTGACTAGTACAGATTGCTGGTCTGGATTGGTACAGATTACTAATCTGGTGGGTTCAGATAATCCACGGTACTACTGAAAATCCACAGAAGAATACTGACCGTCATGGGGAAATCAAATCAAAATAAGATAGAGGTCAAAATAAGATACACCGGTATGTATCATCTTTTTACTATTTTAATTCATTTTACTCTAATTCATTTTATAACTGTACCATTTATCTCCTTTAACCCTTGTATTATCTTCATTTGTGTCTACACTCATTTGTCTACACACATGCTTTTGGCTTGCTCAGTCGGGGTTATTTAATATTTAACAATATTATTGATCTGTGTTGTACTACTTTCATGTCATCACTGTGAAGCTGCTTTGATACAATCTGTATTGTGAAAAGCGCAATATAAATAAATGTGACTTGACTTGACTTGACTCATTATCTCTGGGGTCTCCAGGGACCCCAGACATAACATTAAATTTTGTAATAGTATAATGTATACTTTTTTTCTTTTTTTACAAAATGTAATTTTACTCTGTTTATTAATGTTTTTACTCAACAAAATGTAAAATGATTGTTTGAGTATTTTTAATATCTTTTAAATTTCTATAAATTCATAAATAAATATTTATTTAAAAAGGCTTTTTACAAAAAAACGGCATTGTTTGTAAAATTCACTTTATAAATGATCAATTTATCTAGTCCAACCAGACAATGGTGAGAGGTGTTTGTGTAAAAAGCCTTCATCAACCACTGTTTTAAATATGTAAAATTTGTTCCAAGTCATTCTTAGAAAAAAACAAGACAATTCTGTTTTGTTTATTTTTGATTACTAAGTAAAATATCCACATTTTAATTTGTTTTCTGTAATAGTTTTGTGTAATCATGTTTTTTTATATAATACTGAATGAGTAAATGTGTATTCAAAGCAAAGAGATGTTTTATATTAAATGTAGTTTATTGCACAACAACAATAATGTTTTCAAAACATCAACAAGCAAATGTTCTTAATAAAACACTTTGAGGGACAGTTCTCTCTACAGTATATGAGATAATTTTACAATATTTTTTCATTCTAAAAAAAAGGTTGAAAGTGTTTCATCTCTTTAATGTTTCTCAGGTTTGTAAAGTACTGTATTTATTGCATATCAGTGGTTGTTGTAGTGGTGTTTAGTCCAAAGTTCACTTCACCTGACAAAATGCCTTCATTTCACATCCTGCAACATCATCAAATACAGACGACATCCGGGCGTATTTTAGAGTAAGTTTCGGTCCTGTATACTTTTGTAAGGAGTATGGAGCTATTCAGCCATATTACTATTCCCAAATGACAGACAGCCTCACTGACTTACAGCCAAAACATTATGCAGAAATCACACAATTTGCAGTGTATTAAGATATATATATATATATATATATATATATATCATCTTGCTCATAGTGTCAGTATATGAATCTGTAAAGTTCATTCAAAAACAGAATAAACAGTAACAGATAAAGTTTAAATGAATTTAAAGTCAGTGTCATTTCTCTGAATAAGTTGTGGTCAGGTCAGCTCAAATTGTTCAGCTTTTTACTTGCATGATATTTTGCATATAAACTAAGTGCTATTTATACTGTATGCAGGTGAAACTCAAAAAAATGTGTAATATATATAGTTGTGTATAATTTTGATTATGATTACAGCTTATGAAATCCCCAAATTCAAAATCTTTGAAAATTACATGAAATCAATAAAAAAGAATTTTAAATCTAGAAATTTCAGCCCTCTGAGAAGTATAATCATGCATTGTAATATATACTAAATATATTAGTTTCATCTTTTAATTTGAATCACTGAAATACATGAATTTTTGCACGATATTCTACTGGCTTAATTGTTTATGACGTCAATGAATCCAGTCATTTATAAATCAGTCCTCCAGGAACAAGGCTGAGAAACACTGCTTTATAGATGGTAATCAATTATTGTAGAAGTTTGGTACAGTTCGTCTTGCATCAAAAAAAGGTGTGTGATGTTCTTATGGCAGTGTGAGTTGTGAAATGCTCTTCTCACAGATCCATTGATAAGCTCTAGTACATGCAATATCAAGCCACCCTACTAAATTACCCCACCCTGGCTGAGGCACAGGCACAGTCACGGCACAGTTCTCGTCTCTACCTCCATTAGGCTCTACAGACACTCCAGGCCCTGCAGACCCCCAGAAGCTGAAAATACAGATCAGCATTAGATGTTCAGTGCTTCTTTCTGTGTGATATGATACTGACTGTAAGAATCATTTATTAGATATTAATCAGTTGTCAGTTCAGTTCAGTGTTTTCTCACTTAGAGGTCATGTTGGTGCCATCAACCCATTTCCATCTGCCCTCCTCAACACTGTCAGTCAGACCAATCCAGACTACAGCTTTACCAATCATGTTCTTAACAAAATCCTGAGCAGATGAAACAGTTAAACATTTATATCATAAACAGAACAAACTCAATTTCATCTGACCATCTCTCATTTATCTACTAAACATCATAAAAGCAACTCTTACTTGTTCTTCTCTGTTGTTAATGATGATCAGATCTGCTCCTCTCTCTGTACAATATTGTCTGCTCTCAGTCCAGATCTTCGTCTCATTGGGCATGTAGTAAAAACTGGATTTATAGTAAGTCCATCCATCTGTAAACAACCAGTTTAGCTGTTAGCTCTTTATTCCCATTTACACTCAACTGTCTGTAACTTATAACAGATAGTAAACTCATAGATTGTGTTCAGTGAAAGTTACTGAGAGAATAACCCCACTCCATGATGTTTTTTTAAAATGTTTGCTATATAGAAAATAACTTCATATTAAACAAACTTTACCAGAACTCTGAAGATGATTTCTTAGCTGGTTTCTCTCATTGGTCAGGTTTGCATTTCTGGATATTAGCTGGTTTCTCTCATTGGTCAGGTTTGCATTTCTGGATATTAGCTGGTTTCTCTCATTGGTCAGGTTTGCATTTCTGGATATTAGCTGGTTTCTCTCATTGGTCAGGTTTGCATTATTGGATATTAGCTCGTTTCTCTCATTGGTCAGGTTTTCATTCTTGGATATGAACTGTTGTCTCTCTTGAATGAACATGACACACAGCACTATGACTGCAGTCAGCAGAAGAACACACAGCAACACCAAACACACTGCAGCGGCTCTGGAGCTTCTGTTCCTCACAGAATCACTTCCTGAACATCACAGACATTATACATTGTGAATATTTTCTTCTACATTTACGTAAAGGTGGGGTAGGTAGAAATAATAAAAAAACACTCTGAAAAAGTAATTGAGTGTCTGTAGTCCTCTCAGTACTGCAATAAACACAGATCATTATTTCATTCACTCCCACCCCTCCCCGTCTGGGATCCTTACAAAGCCACGCCCCCAAAACATATGAACGCGCGCTGCCGACCGCGCTCAGCTGGAGGACGCATTTTTTCAGCGCCGCTTAGAGGAGCAGTGCATACTTACATCATTTCAGAATCAAATGCCTAACTTTATCATAATTAATATAAACAACTAACATGGCTTGTAGTACTCAATCAAGCTAGCATATCAATACTGGTAATGGTAAAGTTTATAATATATTGAGTTTTATTCGGTAACGAGCTAGTAACATAAAAATTAAAAACAGCAAAACTAAGAACAGGTTGCATTGATGCACGTTTTCCCGTTACCATCAGTTAGCATATACATGAAGGTTAATTTCGTGTAAGATTCATGACATATACGTTGTTTTACATGTAAGAGCTTCCATGAAAGCACTGTTGGCATCACTTTTCAGCCCCTGGTTGTCAGTTGTCACCACGGCTGGAAAGCCCTGCCGATATTGACTCTCGTCTGACTTCTTGCTTGATCCAAAGACTTTTTGGTCATAGCCTTTTCAAATACTGTCTTCCTTTTTTGCCTGGTTTTCCTTCGCTGACTGTATATTTGACTGCTCTTTCTCTGCCATAATTGTGATTCTTCCTAGCTTCTGTGCCTCTTCCATGTGGGCTGCTCTTACGCAGCAGTGCTGGTAGCCATGGTAGCGAGGGAGAGTGACAGCCGCCCAGCCAATCATTTATTTCGTCCCGGTTGGAAATGATGAGCTGTGTTTATTGCAGCACTGAGTGGACTACAGACACTCGATTTGCATACTTTCTGTTTTAGAGTATTTACATTTTAATTATGTATTGGTATACATAGACAGTTTAAACTAATTTGGGAAAAAGTTTTTTTAGAAAATTTCTACCTACCCTGCCTACCATTCACATCATAAATATGAGTAAAGTTTTAGTATTAGCAGTTAATCACAGTTACCTGTGTGTTGCGGTGTTTGGGTTTTCGCTGTTTGGGTGTCGAAGTCCTCTCTGTCTTTATGTTTCATGCCTCTTACAGCCTCAGCAGTAATGTAGATATCAACTGTCTTATCTATCCTGTCTTCTGATTCCATCATTGAACCTATATCCATTCCTTCATTCACAAGCCCAGACATTCTTAGTACAGTTTGGATGGCTACAACTTTTTAATATGAACCAACTGCCAGAACTACAGGTCAAACTGACTAATATCTCACCTAAAGTGATTTTTTGTACTCCTGATGTCTGTCTGTGTGTGTATGTGGTAATATTATGTAAAAAAGGAACTTGCAACACTTAGGAAGTTAACACAAATGTCACGATTTTCTGCAATGGGATTGGTTAACTTTTACAAAACATTTGTGTTTAACTAAAACATATTTATTGTGGCTGTCCAGCACCTTCTATTAACAAATGCCTTGTATGTGTGTGTGTGTGTGTGTGTGTGTGTGTGTTTGTATATATATATATGAAGAGTTCAGATGCAAAAGTCTACGTACCATTTTAAATTTTCTTCTACAATGATAATTTTGATCAAGCTTGTATATTTAAGTTCAGTAATTTCACTTTGAAGATTACCTATTAATTGTCATTTAAGTGAAATTACTGAACTTAAATATACAAGCTTGATAAAAATGATCATTCTAGAAGAAAATTTCAGATGGCACTTACAGGCTTTTGCATCTGAACTCTTCATATATATATATATATATATATATATACACACACACACACACACGCACGCACGTGTGTGTGTGTGCATATATATATATATATATATATATATATATACATACATCCTCTCAAGCAAAATGCTTTACAAAATACTTTACATTTCAATTGTCAAAAGTACCAATGACAGATGAACTCAAATGATAATTTTGGGGAAGCAAATACTTTTAATTTCTCTTATATTCAATTGCTCAATGGCATGTGACTCATGGGTTCATTTAAATCAAACAGATATTGAACGCACACAGTGTCAGACATTCTTCTATATTAGAGAATGGCTGTAACTACCGGCTGTCAAGATTCTTCATCATGGTCGCTTTGTTCTGAGACGTCAGAAAAGCTAAACTCAGCAGGCAAGCCAGCTAAAACTATTATGTTGCTAAACTGTCTGACAACTTTTCCCTCCTCCCTGTCGTTTACTTTCTCTTCGTCTCTCAGAGCAATTTCTCCCACCTGAGGTTTTAATTGTTGGAGCAACTGAAGCGACGTGACAGAAGTCATTTTGTGGTCCATTATGTTTGTATGCAAAAGACAGGCCCAAAATTAGCATGTCACTGAAAAGCATTGTTCTACACTTCCCAGTCATTAAAGGTAATCTTCCTGAAAACTGTGCTCTTTGCTTTAGTCATCACCTTTATATGGGTTTTATGTCTCTTAAGGAGCTATATTGTGAAAAATCCTCTGTAAAAAAATATTTTATAGATTTGTTATCACAACATATTTTCTTTTGTCAAATCAACTTTATAATAATTTATGTAGTTGAGATAACTTATTATTTTGAGTTTCTGATGGTTAAATTAGTCTACTTCATTGTATTAACTCACTTTTTTTCCTGTTCAATCAACTTAAAATTTTAAGGCAACCCAGGTTACTTACTTTTTTAAGTTAAACCAACAATATTTTTTTTTTACAGTGTAGTAATCACAACATTTTTTCTTTTGTCAAATCAACTTAAATAATTTATTTAATTCATATAACATACAATTTTGAGTTTCTGATGATTAAATTAGTCTACTTCATTGTATTAACTCGCTTTTTCCAGTTCAATGAACTTAAAATTTTAAGGCAACCAGGTTACTTAATTTTTTAATTTAAACCATCAATATTTTTTACAGTGAAAACATCTGAATGTCTTTAAAACAAAATAAATAAGAACTAAGTGTTTTTGGTGTGTTTAAAGCTTTGTTTTAAACAGACCAAAACACTCATTGCATTATGCTTTTTTGGGATGTATGTGGAAAAATACATTTGAAATGAATTTCTTATTGCGCATTTAAAAAAAATTCAGCTAGTGAATTTTGACAGCTAGTATTGAAGCTTTTCCTGAATTATTTTTTTAAAAATAAAATATTATTTTCATTATTTTATCTTTCAAAATGTGTGCACAAAAAATAGTAAATTTACAATGGTAAAAAGATTTTTATTTTAAATATATGCTGTTTTTTTAAAACTTTTTTTAATGAAAATATCCAGACAAATAATACATCTAAATTTTAAGCAACTGTTTTAAACGTTGATAAATAAAAAGACATGTTTCTTTAGCAGCAAATGAAGAGTTCAGATGCAAAAGCGCCATGCAAAAGTGCCATTTGAAATTTTCTTCTAAAATTATCATTTTTATCAAGCTTGTATCAGTAATTTCACTTAAATGGCAATGAAGATTACCTATTAATTGTCATTTAAGTGAAATTACTGAACTTAAATACACAAGCTTGATAAAAATGGTCATTCTAGAACAAAATTTCAAATGGCACATAGAGGCTTTTGCATCTGAACTCTTCAAATATTATATAGCAGCAAATATTATACAAAGTATCATAAATATTGTATTAGAATGATTTCTGAAGGATCATTTGACACTGAAGACTGGAGTAATGATGCTGAAAATTCGGTTTTGTCATCACAAGAATAAATACAAAAATTCTGATAACATATGATTTAAATGGTAATAATATTTCACAATATTACTGTTTTTTTTCTGTATTGCAGATAAAGTTTGTAGGATGGAATGAAAAGCTTCAAATGATAATGAGGTTATTTCATGATAATATGAAGGTATCAAATGCAGTTTCCCCTTTTCACTAGTATTGATTTCACTTTAATGAACCACAAATTAGAGGAAGTTGATCGTGGCACTGAACAATGTTCACAACAGACCAATTGTTTACAAATAATAAGGACTCTATTTCTCATACCGTGTTTTAGGGGGAAAAATATCTTAAGAGATGTGTGCACTGTTGTCACATCTTACTATTCGTTACCAAAACTTATTCAACAGAATATGTTGAATCTAAGAGGTAAGGTGTTATATATTCCGAATTATACATTCAGTGCAGTTTTTCACTGTCAGTCAATCTCAAACACTGTCTATACAGAGAGGAAATTTAAAATGGCCCCTTGCTTATTTTCCAACAATTTGATTGGCTGCTACCCTGGAGCGTGTATCAGGTCTTTGTCTGGGTTGACAAGAAGTCAGGCATGAAGGATATGACATTGTAATGAGTCACCGTTATCGCGGCCATTAGAAGGCCTGCACGCTGAAGTTTGAGTGACTGGTGTAGGAAGGCAGACGCTAACAGTCCGCGTGGATCCATCAAGCTCCTGCCATTGTTCGCCCGCATTAGAGGGGCAGCTTTCTAATGGTAATTGAGTTTGTTTCGTTTGCCGAAAGCAGGAAAAATGCCACCGGCTCCACTGATTAGGGTTCTTGATTAGGCCTCAGCTTTATTTCCCATTCTTTTTACACAACTGGAGAGACCGTTTCACATAAGTGATGAGACAGACTCTCTTCAGCAGGACCCCAAGAGGGAGTTTCGCGGTCCCAGCGGGTCCCCGTGCACGCGTAATGCGGGAGCTTTATGCTGATGTGAAATGCCAAGGGTGCAGGCAGCCATCCATCATTGTTACGGCTGTGGCTTCTGTTTGGACTCAATGCAGGAGACACATTTTATTCCCTATATTAATTATTTTGAACTCTAGCTTTAGTTTACTTTCAGCTTTAGTTGCTCAGAACAGATTTTTCAACTCATGTACATTTGATAACATGGTGCGTTTTACCGGTAAATATTAACCAATCACATAGCCTCTATAATGGCTAATTATCCAGCCCAGGTTCTACCAAAATTGTAGCAAAACTCCAAATACATATACATACAATAGGCCGCATACAATTCACAGCATAGTTTCCAACTAAAATGTACACTAGAGACTGTAAAACAGCCAAAATAATGTATTCTTTTTCACACAAATTATGATTAAAGGGGCTGATTAGTGATTAATGAATTTTCATGCCATTCTTTTCACAATAATATTATTACCTCAAAACACTTTTAGCGTAGTGGATGATTTTTAAAATAATAGTGTCATGCACTTCTCCAAGACACAAGGTTGTGGATCCAAATTTATTTTATTACAGGGCAATCCAAATGTGTAATCCAATAAACCAACCCGGTCTCATCCCAAGACGTCATATAACTGACGTTTTGGGACGTCTTTTGACCATACGTCAATATTCGCCTTTTTAGGGCCCCCTTAAACGTCGGTAGATGAGGTTATGGGATCCTAACTCTACCCCAGACCTAAACCTAACCCTAAACCTAACCCGTCACCTAACTGACGTTAAAGGTAAAGCGTCAGTTGTATGACGGCCCGGGATCGCCATCTACCGACGTTTAAGGGGGCCCTAAAAAGGCGGATATTGACGTATGGTCAAAAGACGTCCCAAGACGTCAGTTATATGACTTTTTGGGATGAGACTGTGTTAAATAAACAGGCAAAAGGCCAAGCAGTCCAAAATATACTAGGGCGAAATACTACACTGAAACATGGTTAAAGACAATCATGGATTATGAGACCAGGCAGTGATTTATAGTCCTTGATTTTGTGGCAATAGTCTACCCCAAGTGCACTCCTGAAAGCCACACTGGTAATTGTGATAAATACAAATCAACTGATTGGTTCCTTCTGTAACAGAAGCAAATGAAGTCGCTGCTGATATAATTCATGTACATTATATTGTACAGAAGCAGCATGTCTGTCTTGCTCACAGTAGCTTGCTGTGTATGTATTTAGCAGTAGAAAGTCCCATACTTGCTCTGCCGCAGCAGCAGTAATAAGCTATAGCAGCAGCAGCAGCAATAACCTATAGAATCATATGCAGTTGCAATTCTGGGTTATAATTTTCCCGATCAAAAATATGCCTCAATAAACCAATGATTAGACTAGAACACAGCCATGGACGAAGCCATTGTGGGAAACATAATGCCGGAGCATGTGTCACATCTCATAGCAATAACATCCAGTCTGTGAATGGAAAACTGTTTCTTGAGGGTAGTGTTGCTTTCGTCAACGAAAATTATGACTAAATATCATCGTCAACGAACCTTTATCACGTGACGAAAACGAGACGAGACGCAACGTAAATGCTGGTCGTGTGACGATGACTATAACTAAATGTATAATGCAATATCGTTGACAAATAAAAACGAGACTAAATGTGGTTTACAAAAATAAAAACTATGC